TCTTTAATGCAATTATCGATATCTTTATTTCCACTTGTCCATTCTTGCATTATTTTCTGAGGATCACATGATCGACACCAAGCTTTAGATGTGTTATATCGGTCGCAATTTGCACATTTTCCATTATATTCAGATCTTTTAGAACCAAATTCATCAAATACTAACATATATTCATTTGTTTCGGTATTTTGAGTTAGGCCATGAACTTTAAGATCACAGTCCTTTAACTGTACATATCCTACAAACTTATTAAACGTGTAAGTATATATTAAGATAAGGTTATATAGATTGTATAACAAAGAGAAATGATTAAATGATGCAGCCAGAAAAATCACACATCGGGCTTTTAATTTTATTTATTATTTACCAGACTAAGGGTGCTCTCAAGCACCTAAATTAATAGATCGGTGCTCAATTTTTAATTAGCGGAACATAATTTGGATGGTCAAATAAGCTCGTTATCGCAATGAAAAAAAAAGATGGTCGAGACCATCTTTTTTTATCATAGAGTTGTGTTTATTGGCTAAAATTTAAGATCCGCATTTCGCACTATGAACCTTCAGCAAAATTGCCGTAAGAATTACCTCAATTAATTATAGTGCTTGTGCACGATCTCGTTTACTAGCTGATCATATTGAGTGAGATGCTTGAGAGCACCCTAAATCAGATTGTAATATAAGTATTGCAGAGTGAAAACCTGATCATAGTAAAATCATTAAGTACAGTTACTCATATAGTAGTACTAATATAGTAGTACTCATATAATAGTCGGACATTTAAATCTAAAAGCTCAAAGTGTGTAGTTTTCCGTTGGCAACACCCAAGTATTTTAACTTACTTCTCTTAACTTATCTAATAAATTTGGTGTTCTAAGTATTTTAAGCTCCACTTTAAATGATCGTATACGTGACTGTGTACATTCAAAACTATATTTATCTTTTATATATCGTATTCCATCTAACCAAGTTGCTAAACATTTATCACCAATGTGTTGAATATTCTTTAATTTATGAAAAGGAATCCATTCAATTACGTTTTCATATTCTGTAGCTTTAAGTTGAAATTCTTTAATACAATTATCGATATCCTTATTTCCACTTGTCCATCCTTGTGTTGTCTTCCAAGGGTCACATGTTTGACACCAACCTGGCGATGTGTTATATCGATTGCAATTTGCACATTTTCCATTATATTCCCTTCTTTTAGAACCAAATTCATCAAATACTAACATGTATTCGTCCGTGATTGTGTTTTGAGTTAATCCATATACACGTTCACTCACTGATTGACTTTCTGATTGACACTCTAATTGCACATGGTTTTTAAACTTATAAAATATACAAAATATATAAATTGAGAATTGAGTATACATAATCTATATTAATTAAATAAACTATACATAATAAACTCACGTCATTTAATATGTCTAATAAATTTGGTGTTCTAAATATTTTAAGCTCCACTTTATATGATGGCATACGTGACTGTGTCCATTTTTCTTCACCATCTACATATTTTGTATATCGTATTCCATCTAACCAAGTTGCTAAAACTCTATCACCAATAATTTGAATATCATCTAATCTATTAAAAGGAATCCATTCGATTACACTATCATGAGATGTAGCTTTAAGTTGAAATTCTTTAATACAATCATCGACTTCCTTATTTCCACTTGTCCATCCTTGCGTTATCTTCTGAGGGTCACATGTTTGACACCAACCTAACCATGTATTATATCGCTTGCAATTTGCACATTTTCCATTCCCTATACGTCTTTTAGAACCAAATTCATCAAATACTAACATATATTCATCAGTGATTGTGTTTTGAGTTAATCCATATACTTTAAGATCACTATTCTTTAACAGTACATAATCTACAAACTTATTAAATATATAAATAAATTAAGTTACAGTAAGTAACAAATCACAGTTGAGTAAAAATCGGCGGACGAACACTTTTATACAATGATGGAATGCAGTAAGGTAATAAATTATAAGAAAAATACGTTGTAAGTGGAAACGGAGTTTAAGTGGATTCGAAAATTTTATTTAACTAGAAAATCCCGTTTCCACTTGCAACAAAAGTTAACTGGAATAGATGTTTACTTAGCATATAATTAATTTTTCATTGTAAGCTAATTGCATTCCAACGTGCTTTATTTTTTCAACTTACTTCTTTTATCAAATTTTGTGATCTAAATATTTTAAGCTCCACTTTATATGATCGCATACGTGACTGTGTATATCTATATCCGAATTCAGCTTCATTGTCAACTTTTACATCTCGTATTCCATCTAACCAAGTTGCTAAAAATTTATCTCCAATTATTTGAATATTTTCTAATCTATTAAAAGGAACCCATTCAATTACATCTTCGTAAGATGTAGCTTTAAGTTGAAATTCTTTAATACAATCATCGACTTCTTTATTTCCACCTGTCCATCCTTGTGTTGTTTTCCAAGGGTCACATGTTTGACACCAAGCTCTATCTGTGTTATATCGATTGCAATTTGCACATTTTCCATGCCAATTTGATCTTTTAGAACCAAAATCATCAAATACTAACATGTATTCGTTTGTTACAGTGTTTTGAGTTAGGCCATATACTTTACTTAACTGTACATACTGTACATAATTTACAAACTTATTAAACATAAAATAACAATTAACATAAAGTTACAGTATATATGTCTTGCAATATTACTAAATTATTAAATTATTTAATATTTATCTTACTTCTTTTATAATATCTATTAACTTTAGTGTTCTAGTCAATGTTTTAAGCTCCACTTTACATGATCGCATACGTGACTGTGTATATATATCTTCTTTGCCTACAAATTCTATATATCGTATTCCATCTAACCAAGTTGCTAAAAATTTATCACCAATATTTTGAATATTAACTAATTTATCAAAAGGAATCCATTCAATTACGTCTTCATAAGATGTGGCTTTAAGTTGAAATTCTTTAATGCAATTATCGATTTCCTTATTTCCACTTGTCCATCCTTGTGTTGTCTTCCAAGGGTCACATGCTTGACACCAACCCCGCGATGTGTTATATCGATTGCAATTTGCACATTTTCCATGCAAAAAATTTCTTTTAGAACAAAAATCGTCAAATATTAATGCATATTCATTTGTTGCAGTGTTTTGAGTTAATCCATAGACTTTTAATTGACTCTCTAATTGCACAAGATATTTAAACTTATAAATTATATAAATTAAGTATATACACTATCAATTAAATTAATCACATATAATGGAACAATATAACTCACTTCTTTTAAAATATTTTGAATATCAGGTGATTTAGTCAATATTTTAAGCTCCACTTTATATGATCGTGTACGTGACTGTGTATATCCACATTTTGCATAACGTATTCCATCTAACAAAATTGCAAAAAATTTATATCCAATGTTTTGAATATCAGTTAATCTATTAAAAGGAATCCATTCGATTACATCTTCGTATTTCGTAGCTTTAAGTTGAAATTCTTTAATACAATCATCGACTTCTTTATTTCCACTTGTCCATCCTTGTGTTGTTTTCCAAGGATCACATGTTTGACACCAACCTGGCGATGTGTTATATCGCTTGCAATTTGCACATTTTCCACACCTATGATTTCTTTTAGAACCAAATTCATCAAATACTAACATGTATTCGTTTGTGGATGTGTTTTGAGTTAATCCATATACACGTTCACTTCCTGATTGACTCTCTAATTGACCCTCTAATTGACTCTCTAATTGTGCATGATTATTAAACTTATAAAATATGCAAAATATATTAATTAATATACACTTGATGAATTAAATTAACTACACATAACTGATAATGAAATAATATAAACCTACTTCTAAAATATTTTGAATATTCGGTGATTTGGTTAATATTTTAAGCTCCACTTTATATGATCGTATACGTGTACGTTCTCCATATTTTACATGTCGTATTCCATCTATCCAAGTTGCTAAAATTTTATCCCCAATGCTTTTAATATTTTTTAATCTATTAAAAGGAATCCATTCAATTACACTACTATAAGATGTAGCTTTAAGTTGAAACTTTTTAATATAATCATCGACTTCCTTATTTCCACTTGTCCATCCTTGTGTTGTCTTCTGGGGGTCACATGTTTGGCACCAACCCCACGATGTGTTATATCGCTTGCAATTTGCACATTTTCCATTCTTTTTATCTCTTTTAGAACTAATTTTATCAACCATAATTCTAAGATGATTTAAGATGTCATGAAGAAATTTATCGTCGTTATGCGTTATATAACACATGTATGTATGTATGTAACACAAATATTTTTATTTTTCACCAGTTTGAATATCTTACAATAATATACTTTATCATTTAACATTTTATGTATAAAACGGATTCTTTTATGAATAATTAATTGAAAAGAAGGTATTTGTTCATAATAAATCTAATTACTAATGAGTATTCAATAAAACAAATGTAACGGCCGGCTGTGATAAAAAATTTATTAATGTTCTTGTGACCTAATCGAAATAACTAATGAATTTATAACCAGATTAATTGCCGCATTCTTTCATAGAAGAGATCCCAATAATTTATCAAACAGCAAGAGCGGGATCAACTCAAGAAGGAATTGTATGAAGAAAACTGGATTGTTCTAAGGTATGTTTGATATTATGAAGACCCATATATAGTTATTCCGGAGCATCTTCGAGAATTTGGTCTAATTGAGTAAACCTAAAACTTTAAATGTTCATATGCACATATTGTTTAATATGCTCTCTATTTTATTTTTCTGAACAACACCTACACATACACAAATGCACAGCTAAAGATAAGCCTGATGTGGGCATTGGTAAATACAAAAAAAAAATAAGAACATAAGCAAGTTCAAAGTATTATAGATTGCAGTGCAGTATCAACAAATAGGATTATTATAAAAACTTTAACGTACTACATATTCATTGTTTTGGCTGATTTTTTAAAACTATTTGCTAAATTTCGTAAAGATCAATGATGAAATTACTACCAGGAATTGCAGAACAAGAAACCAGTAGAACATATCCAATAGCTGGAATAGGTGGGTCATAAAATACATCACTTATCGGAATGTTGATCTGATATGCTGGGTTACCCAGAGCATTACACCCATTAGGTTGACTACCACCTGTTTGCACAGTCCCAAAATGTCACTATTTTTTAGACATGTAAATATCGAAAAACTAAAATAAACAGAATCTTTAAACACTTTAACATTACTTTTCTGGTTGGCAATCCTTTTTCCATAATTTAATATTTAAAAAGTTTTTTAGAATATCAACTATGAAACTATAATAAAATAGTCAATAGATATATATCTTCATTGATTAATTAAATTGTTAATATGTATTTGTGTAGTTCACAAATCACAAAGCTTTATTTCTAATATACATCTATATACTGCTGACTTATCCAAAGTGCACACTTATTTTTCAATCCATGGTAATTTTGACTAACTGCAACTTCACATACTATTTTAGCATAAAAATTCTCCTACAAAAGTATAAGTATTGAAAAAACAGATTATGATTATATACACCAAATTTAACACATTCTTGTATCACTTAGAGAAGTTTCAAAATTGAGAGGTCTAGGATTGGAAGATCTTGAAACATATGTCTCATCCAGATATACTGCAATATCTGGTGCAATCATAAGTCCATCTGCATTTGGTGAAGGATGAACTATAAAAAGGATGTAAAATATTAGAAAATCTATAAAAAATCAAAGATTAAACAAATTGGAATTCTCTTACATAGTTGACCTGAAACAAGTATTGGTGGATTAATAATAACATCACTATTGAGAACATTTAAATACTTTTGCAATAGTGCAACAACAGCTTTATGTTCTTGTATACACATATTAATAATAATAAAAACATTGCTGTTATTATACTCAAACTTGTACTCAAATAGTTTACAGCTTTTATGAAATTTGGTATAGTTTTTTATCAATATATTGAAACCAATCTTAAAAGGCAAACTGCAATTTATATAGTTAACACTAAGTTAAATTTAAAGTTAAGAATCACAGTTTTATAATAAATATTATATTGTAATAAAATTTACTAAAAACTATCAAGTTGTAGCAAATTTTAAAGTGATAAGTGTTGAGTGAAAGATCTTTTATTTAAAGGAAAATAAAATAAAAATAACTAAAAATAAGAAATAAATATTTAAAAATGGAATTTAAATTCAATAGCCTTCTAGATACTATAAG